ATCCTAGCCAAATCTATAACGCTATTTATCAAGGGACTAATACAGTGTATTCAATAAAGACCATTAAAATGTACTTGTTTATTTTATTCAATTTTTGTATTTCATCATATAATTATATTTATTTTCTTAGTCAAAACTATTTCACAGTATCATAATTTTGTATTCAAGTCTTCTAAAACATGCTCAATGAAATTCTTCCTAAAGTGCATTTAACTCTAGGTGGATTTTCTGTGTAAACACACACTCACACATACTCAGAGGGACGTACTTAATGTTTCCAACTATCATTCTATGTCATTTGGAGACGTATTATAAAGGATAAGTTAAATTTACTGATCTTCAAGATCATTTGACTCTTGATCTTTCTTTTTCTAGTCAAATCACGAATCCAGTACAGAAATCATAGTTTCCAAAGTGCATAAAAAACTTGTTTCTTCGATCAATAATTTCGGCAAGCAATAACTAGAGAAGTACAATTGTAATAATCTTTGAAATTTTAATTCTACTTTGCTGAATTACGGGATACTATATGCTTATTAAAATGGTAATGATATATGACAGAAAACCTCATTTTTGGAATTAACTCTACGTAACTTGGTGTGTTTTTTCAGATATGGATAGGACTTATACAATGCCTCGAACCGTAATCACTGTGTTCATTTAAGATATGATGGATTTGTCATTTGGTTTTCTGATTAAATCATCATTTACTTGATCAGTTAGTCATGGAGATCAGTTTAGTTTTGGGAGGAAAAGTTCAAAGTTTAAGGAAACTGTTTCAATGGTTTTCCAGTTAAATTTATAACCTAAGAAAAATATTCTAAAAAGTAATATTATCTTTCAAACTGTTATAACATTAACAATGGGAGATGGGATATCAACTAGAAATATAATGGCATTTCAAGCACTGCTTACTTGTTGGATTGTATTCACAACTTGTTACGTAATAAATATCCAATTATTTTTAAAACTTGGTCTGATTTAAGTGTATCGATCTCACTTGTTAAGTTAAAATAATGTGCAACATCAAAGAAAAATGGTTATCAAATACTGATGTACATTAAATATCGTTCCATTATGTTGGTTAAACCCTATATATGATTCCTAAACTAGCTATTTCTATAGCTAATACAGTTAATTGGTTTCAAACTTTACTGAAAAAGAGAATGTATATTTGTTGATCTTATGAATCAGTTCATTTAATGGGACTGTTAGATCCATTCATATTTGTTTTATAAAATAGTGGTTAAAAATCTGAACCATAATTGCTTTAATCAAAGAATACTTGATCATGTGAATACTCTAAACTCTGATCACATGATCATACTTTTATTGAACATTAGAATAAAGGCTGGTTATCCTCACACCAAAAAGACGAATAACTTATGGTTATTTCTTAGACTTTTGATGAACAGACTGAAACTGACGGAAAGTGACGCAATTAAACTAAGTAATAACCACTTATATGAGAGAATAGTTACCAGTCGTAAGTTAACGACAATGAGGACAGATTATAGACGATTATTCATACAGTCGTATTAACTGCTCATTTTGTCAGGAAATCCACAGATACTTAATTTTTTTATTGATATTCATGACTTCTCGCTCTTTGGACAGAAATTAATTAATGTCTGTTAATGCAAGTTAAACCAAAAATAATTTAACCCATCATTTATTAACACTAATAAAAAGCCATACATTGAAATTATCTTGTATTTTATAATATAAAAATGTCAGTATCAAACTTTATTTTGACTACACTTGGTATTGTTTGTTTGCATCTTCCCATTGAGTTTTAGGACTGCAATTGATCAGTCTCTTATTGGCATATGTGCATACTCTGCGTATTGCCTCGATATAGCCTTAATTTACAATCATTATAAGCAAAGAGGGACAGTGGCTTGCAGTCTAAAAATCAATAGGAAGATTCAAACAAACAATACCAAGTGAATTCAAACTTCGTCCCATTGCACAAGCAAATGGCTATCAGGACTCAGTGGTCGGGTGGATAACGCGATGGAGTTTGGAGCGAACGGTAGTGGGTTCGAGTCCCAGAGTGAACATCAACACTGAGATGCAGGTACATCCAGCTCATGAGTCCCAAATAGGACGAATCGCGCGTCCTGGATTCCACTGCTAGCCACTGTCCATCTTTGTTTATTTTGGCTAGGTTAATTCGGTAACTACAGCGTATAACAAAGTTCGAAGGAATTTCGGTGTAAAAAAAGAAAGTATTTAACTATCTAGCAACCTTTTCTAAGGATTATCTTCCGATATTAGAATTGACATCAGAATTGATTCGTTAAAAGTTCTTCATATACATAGAATAATCATAATTTTAGTCCCAAATGATATATTAACTTCAGAATGTCTGTTCATTTTAAAATCAAAATAATCATTTAATTAAAAATGTTTATTGAGTTGCTTTTGTAATCAACAGTTCTGATAAACTATCTCATGGCACTTAAATAATCCATTGTTTATTTTGTTTTGTATCTGTTACAATTATCCTACGGTTTGTATAAAATAGATTAACAAAACGGAGTGGAACATGACTTAAGTCTAAACTTTTTATTGTAAGATTCACATAGATTTTTTGTAGGTATTAATCAATAATCAAATAAGTCCTGAAGGAATTGTCAAACATTAAGGTGAGCTTCGAAAATCAAATGAGGATAAGTGATAGATCAAGAGAAGCTAGACATATCACATGATGTCTCAAGGCCTCAGGAAAAGTGAAACGTAAATGTGAGCTGGCTATTATTACCAAGTTAATTATTCCCCTAAACAAGGTTACCTTGCATTTCATTATCTCGGTCAGTCTGTCAACGTATAAATGTTCATCAGTTGAGAGTAACATCATTAAGGTTTCAGAGAGGTCTGGCTATTCAAGCGTCAAAAATGTGGATAATGGATCAGTTGAACTGCAAAACATAACAGAATTTAACGACAAGAATTACCAATTGAGTTATACACAGCAGATCAGAATATGTATATGTACAGATACAAAACAATTACAGACGCATGTGTTTTTGATGAATTAAAATTTACACAAAAACATCGATTCTAAAGACTCATTTACATAACAATTGTATAACCCATACAACTGAATTGCTCAAATCTTCCCATTGTTTGCCATCAGAACATTTGAACTGTACGAACACATAATTCAACACTGTCATCATCAAGTTGATCATACTTTGAAAACTGGTTAGCATTAAGATCCAACACTAATGTCTCATCCTGTTTGAGATTTTTGAACTGAATGTTCCTGCATCCTATTTTCATTTTAAAGTATGAATGTAGTTTAAATAGGCGCATTAACTACTATTTGCTTTCTATAAATCAAATTACCTACGACACTATGCAGAAACTGGATATAATCAACAAATATCTGCTTATTAAAAATTTTTGAAGAGTAGTATGATCAGAACAAACTGCAATCATTTACCTTCGTTAATACACAAGTGAAAGTCGACCATATGAAAAACTAATGCTTTTGGTTAAGACAATGAACCGATAAATGTCATACCACCATGGAAAACCTGGACGGCCGTTTCATCCTAGTATGGGACCATGTACTCACTAGTGACTGGCTTCGTGAGGGAATTCTCGGCGTTCTAATGAGAAGCCACGACCAGTGGAGCTAACGTGTATCAGGTAAAGACAGGTATCTACCTCAGACAATGGAGGATGGTCTCACAATTTCGTTGATTGGTTGAAGTTAGACATTAACACAGTTGGATACCGGCTCGGTGGTTTAGAGGTTAAGTGTTCGCGTGAGACCTAAGATCCTGGGTTTGAATCCCACATGTGGGATCGTGGATGCGTACCGTTGAGGAGTCTCCTACTAGGACGAAACGGACGTCCAGTGCTTCCAGGTTCTCAATGGTGGTCTAACATCAATCGATTCATGATCTCAATCAAAAACTTAACGATCTCCACAACCCCATACTAATATATGAGCTTTCACTTTTTTCCTTTTCTGTCCTATTGTATGTCACTCATACTCTTGGATTACATAGTTTACAAATTTCAAGTTATTCAGAAAGAATCTGAGCAAACTTTCAAACCATAATTATCGACTTGGTTGGTTAGCTGAGTGAACCTTGATGATTTTATAAAAGTGGTTATTCGATGGACAATTAGTCAATTAATTCACCAAAATACTGGGAATCTTAGAAACTAATCTTTGGATTTTAATCCATGAATTCGCATTTTATGCCTGAACTAACATGTTTAAATTAACTTCTCTTACAGCGTCGTTTATCCTTTAAATGTTTTTTCCATGTATCACTGTACGTCAACTGCTCTACACACACGAGTACTATGGCCGAAAATTACCGACATTCTTTACGTAACAATTCAGATATCTGTGATAGCCCATTTGATTACACCTGACTGGATGCACTCAATTAACTTGTCAATGAAGAATAAATTATGTTATGTTGTCTTGACCTCAGTACTTAAAATATTCTGTTGATTAACATTGGGATATTATTGCAGCGTGGTATTATATTTCATGCTCCGAAAATATTTGGGATATATGAATTCAGATGTCTGTTGTTACGACGATTTACGAGGGTTTTAGATGTTCATCAAAACTCGATGAGACCCAACACATAGGAAACCGAAGTCTAATAGACATATGAAATTATTAAGCAAGCAATAGATCAACAGTAACATTTTGCACGTTTGTTTGATATTTACTTCTATAAGCAGAACACATTCTTAGAGAAAAACGACATGGGCCTAATCTAATATTTCTATTATAACAAAATCTATTATCTAGACTAGCAGTTAAGTCCAACTTGGCTGAAATATACCTAAACAATGTGCTATTTAAAGCAAGTACTGTCTATTATGTGATCTATTTTCGGAACTGAAGGTGGGTCAAGGTCAGTTTCAAATGTGCGCTTAGTGATAGACGGACATATTCATTGATAAACAAAAGAATTATAACTGTCCTAAATACTGGAATGCTAGGGCAATAGAATTTTTGAAGAACCAATCATATGATGATGACCTCATTGTTGCCAATGCTATGGAGTTAGGCGTCGACCTAGTCATGCGTAATTTCGCCTTTTCGCGTCATAATATCTACTATCCAATCTGAATTCCTAAATAATTGACCAATCAGTGACTAGATCACGACCTGGATTAAACGAACACTATGATGCAAGGACAATTCGATTTAGATCTCTCCCCCTAGGTGTCTGAATACAAGCAAAAGCAAAAATGACTTCAACAAATAAATACACACAGTACAAAATATTGTTTATGTCCTAATATTATTTGAAGCGCGATTAAACATCTATCCACCTGGCAATGGGACACTTGCTTTTTGAAATGACACAATTATCGACCATGACTGCAACTGACTGAAATGATGGTTTTTTAAAAACTCATTCCTATCTAAACTAGGTTAACAGTGTTTATTCAATGGCCTAGTTTGTGGATCAGTATAACCACGAGGAATTAGATAGTAAATATTCAGTGTACTAATGAAAAGTCATGTAAAGCGCCTGGAAATCTAAATAATCTTAGAAGCATGTTCCTTTTACGGTAAGTAATGAACGATTTTCCTGTATATTTTAGATGAATAGTCCGTGTATTTTTCTATGCATTTCTGAAATTCACTTTTTTTGTTGCCTTATATCTCGCTCCTTTCTGTATGGTGGCAGAATCAACCCAGAACTAAACTCGTATTTTTTTATCACAGTATCTATGTTCGCACTAATTTCTCAGTTATCTTTACCATATGGATGATAGTGCGTAACCGTGTAGAATAAAATGAACCGAACGGGCTCGAACTGTTGGTCTGACGATAAAGATTTGTTTATCTATACCTTTGTTGAATAGTGATGCTTTTTTCACCTGATCAATGATTGTAATTTTGTTAATTTGGTCACAGAAATCATTTTATTACCATGTTTAAATAAAGAAATAACTTTTATCGTTATTAATCAATAGTTTGTTATGGTTGGTCCATTATTTTTGAGCGGAACACATCGATTTATTAACTCTGTTGTTTGTTGATTTTCCTAAATATCATAAGATATACCAAAATGAATTTGAGGATGTCAGTCAGTCACAACGTAGAAGTCCGTGTGTACGTACATCACTTCGAGTTGCCATACCACATTAGCACAGAGATACAGTTGTCGATTCAAACCCCATAGTGGTAGAGGTAGTAAGAGTATAAACAGTAATCGGAAAGATTAGGGTTTGAAGATGTTATTCAAGGAGTATAATCCAGTGAAATAAATTTGGAGAGAGAAAGTAGATAGAGACACGAAGAATTCAGAAGATAAGAATTTGGGATTACACAAAGAGTGAATGCACCTTCGCCATTGCAAACGATTTTGAGCCATCTCATCCAAAGTCTCTAACCATCGATCGCTATCATGTTGCGGATCCCAACCAGGTAGTCTACACATGCCAACATGACTCAGTCCATTTGTCAGTGACTTCATGGATTTGTGCCACGTTTTGGTCTGGCCGCCTCTATCTTTCTTCCAACCTATTCGTACACCATTAGACATCACATGTCGAAATTTGGGTATGAAAACATCCGGACTTTTCCCAATTAAATGAGGTCGATTCGTTCTACTTACTAGATTAAACCTTGTGAAGACTGTTGTTAACCTGACTAAACTGATTGCAATTTTCTCATAGAATAATGTTTTATTTTATAGATTTTCGAGTAGATTATCAGTGATGGTTGTATTTCTTTATTTTTGTTCCATTAAAAATTATTCATGATGTGAGCAGTTCACTGTTTGATTGTCAAAAAAGATATTTGGATAAAAAAGAAGGCCAAATTTTAAGCTTTGTTGTCTTCACCCAATCATCATGTTAGTATAGAATAGTTTTGTAATTTGACAGAAGTGAATTGTTATGAAAACAACTTTCAAGGTGCTTAAATATCATTTTTAAGCCAGAGTAAATCTGAATATCTTTTTTGAGTAATCGTGGAGATCATTCTCAAAGATCTAGTCTTTATCAATTAAGTTAAACAATATCTTTTTTACAGGTTATTGATGACATATATTCAGAGTTTTTCTGTTTTTGTAAGAAAGATACGTATGTTCAGTTGGTTTCTAGTATTTCTATTAAGGTCATTACATATTTCCTGAATTTGACATTGATTTTATTTATATTGATACTGAGCTTTCATATACATACCAGCTATAATGGGTTGTACAAGTTGGATGATATGATTGTATTTCTCAAATTGTTTTTGCCAAACTCCGGTAATTATTAAAAAAGGAATGATTACCAGAATGGTTGTCCTCTTATCTAGTGATCCTCATTTCTCTTGTTACAGCTTATCCAACGAGGAAATATTGAAGGGCTGTTACTTGATTTGCTAAGATTCATTAGTTAGAGAGCAAATATTCAGTCATATAATTTATTTTTAAATACTTTCCCAAAAGATTATGTACTGCTTTTGAACACTTATTCATCACGGAACCTATCATCATGTTCCATATTATATATGAATTTTCATGCATACTACTAGGTTAAATTTAAAAAGTTTACAGTTTATGATCAAATCATTTCCATTGCTATCTAAACCTTTGACTTTTTTGTTATTTTCAGTGTGGTCGTATGAAGTAGGACTACTTGATACGACATATATTCATGCTCAGGTTCTGTGTGTACGATGTCAAAATACCTTTATATAAATACTTTAAAGGGAAATAATTCAACTTTAAAGTCATATTTGTACTCATTTGTTTGCAGGTTCTTGTGGTAATAAACAATTACGTGTTGCCAAATTATGAGACATTTCTTTATAAAGTAGATTAGCAAATGTTTGAAAACATGTTGAACTGAACCATATCACTAATTATATTCAATTTATCCATAATATTCGTCTTACTCAATTATTATATCTTTAGTTTTAATTTGAACAGTAACAAATTGAATGCTTCTAGAATTGTTTTGTCCTGCTTAGGCTAACGTTTATCATACTAAGATTAAACGCGAACCACCATGCAGTAATGTTTCGCTTTGAAATTTACTTAACTCTTAGGATGATTCGTTGCACCACACGTCAGTTTGTTTATCTAGACCCAATAAAAGTGGATTTAATCTACGAAAGTGTCTATTACAAAAATAGAACAGTCTCTGTCTCTGTAAACACTACAGCACAATTAGCTGATTGCTTATGAAATCAAAGGTTAGGGCTAGCATTTTTCAATTCATCTACAGAAAAATTTATGTAACAGTGGATTCACTTTCATTATATAGCCAATGAGAAACCTATCAATAATGACTGCGTAAAATTATTCCTCCCACATCGCATTACGTAAATACGCAAAGAAATTATGTATTTCGGCTGTTCTATAAGGTAGATGAAACAGAAAACATCGTTCCACTTTAGTGACACGCCTTTTTGAAATGCTAATATATCCATGATATCTGTCAGTCAGTCAGCTACAACGAAGAGAACTGTGGACTTTTTTAGTTAGAGTATAAAGTAACCTCTATCAAGTGTTCACCTAAATAGTATAAATTAATGTTGGTCACATGTACACTGCTAACCATTATCATAAGATAACATTCATGCTTGTTTACACGTAATTCAACGGAACTTACACGTAAATCAAGATCATGCGAAGTGTTTTACATTCAGTTTTGTCCAAAGATTTTCTTAAAACTACCCTTATACTTGGTGGAGGAAGTAGTTATAAGGTTTCTTCAAAATTAGGTATAAAAAAGAAATCGACATTATCACTGTTATTATTATTATTATTATTATTATTATTATCGATTTCATTTGGTCACTTCCCCAAACTGAATGGTGGTTTTGTACAACGATCATTTCCCGCTACTTTAATGAGGATTAGTTGATATATAAATTAGAATATATAACATAGATGAATGGTTTGAATTCAGTATTCATACACTTTAAGTGGAACTGTAATTCTTACCTGTTTAAAACTCACCAACAAAGCACTGTTGGTAGCTTTCACTCATAACATATCGCTAGAATTTTGTTACACTTTCACAAATATAATAAAATTTAGTTAACTTGACTTGACAATCAACTACAAATACTTGTGAGAATTAATAAAATTACTGGGCTTCCTGGACCAAAATGAATGAAACAGGATTAAATGTTGAATGTTATAATAACAATAACACCAGTAGTCATTTGTGTTGTGCTCAGGCCCATTAATAAGCTTTAATTTTTACCTAGTAGTCTTATAAAGGGTTAATACATATTAAAGTTATGTTCTGTTGTTTGATTTTATCAAAGAATTATACCCTGATTCCAGTGTGTTCACGCGATAAAAACTTCATAGTTAATCAAAAAAAGTTCTACAAACATTGGAAAAGTCACCATCGATGCTTAATGAAAACTAGAATTACATGGAGAGTTTATTTGAATAAAAAGTAAAGTGCAGTTCAACCAGGTCCGTTGGGAGATATCAATTCACTGAAGATATTGGTGAAATGGTTTCTCAACTTCGTGGATTGGTTGGAGTTAGACATTAACACCGTTGGATGCCGGCTCAGTGGTCTATCGGTTATCGTGGATGCGCACGAAACGGTTTTCATATTTTTCTATTCACCTAGTAAATTGTTGGATTTCATGGGAATCATAAACTGATTCATCTAGTGCTTCCAGGTCTTCACTATTTCGCTAATTTAGATCGATCAATGATTCCAATTCAATAAAATTTTAGTAATCACTCCGATGTCAAGTCAGTGAAATAAAATTTGAGATTTTCGAAGTGTTATTTGGAAAAATGCTTTCTGTGATTCGGGAACTGAGTTATTTACTACTTATATGAAATTTCAAATCACTATTTACTTTTAATAGATGCAAACATGTATTGCGCAGAATATAGGTATTTAACGACTGAATTAAATTCCTAACCGAATAATTTGCAGATTGCTTACAAATAGACATTCTTGGTTGTACTTTTACTAATGTATTTTGTTCTTTAACTATGAAGCTTGACTTTTTTGAAAATGAATCTCATAGTAGATTAGCCTAATCTATTTTTGACTTAAAAATTTGTTTTTCTTGCTAGACAAATTAAAAGTTATTCGAAGAAACGACTGTCAATTCTTTCACCAAATTAGTTAGATTCTAATACTAACTTATTGGATAACTGAATGTACTTATATACGTTACAGATACTCAAAACCCATAATGGATACTAAAATATTGTCTGATAGTCTATTGACCATTTTGAAATAACTTTATCAGTTTTGTTTGAGTTGTTCTTCGAATTACTGTCTTATTCATCAGTAATGCAAACTGAATATCTTCTGAACCCTGTTGAAACATTTGAAACCTAAAACACTTAAGAATTAGTATGATTGTCTGTATACTCTAAAAATAATGAAGTATTTGATATCATTTTTATTTATGGATTTTAGTGACAAATTTTTCTTCATGACAGATCAGATCATTATTTTAGTCTTAAAAGGTTTCGATATAAATTACAATAACATTATTGTTTTTGATTTTAGGATTGCAGAAGCTCTTGTAACAAGTGAAGAGTCTCATATGGCATTGTCAAATGCTTCTGAAAATGAAATTGCTGAATGCACACAAAATGTTCATAAGTTTTCGGAAGAACAATCTTCAGAAGATAACAGATCATTATCTTCACCACACATCCCCGATTCTACTTTAAGTAATCAACCGGTGTTTGAAGGAAGTGAAAAGCTATCCAGAATTCGCTTGAGTTCTTCAGGTGATTCTTCTATACCTAGTCCAATGTCTTTTTCTACGAAATTTATTCCGTCGAAAAATTCAGAAATTAACCCTTATCCATCTGCTTCATTGAACCCGGTAAATGGTAATAGCATCCATCCTTCTAAGCAGGTACATCAGGGATTATTATATAATTTGCTCATTTCCAAAGAAACTTCATCACAAAATTCTACGTCTAAAACATCGGTCTCTACTTCTCCCGGTCAGTCATTAATGGAAACTAATGAAGATATGAGTGATGTACGAACAGATAAGCCACTTTCTGATTCAACAGCGTTCATGACTTCTCATCATGCAGATACAAACAATTATCCTACCTCAATTAAAAGTTCCACAGTTTATTCTAATTTTCGTCATCGAGCAAACTCTCTTGGTTGCAAACTTTCCAATAACCGCCCATATACTCGACCTCATGCTTCATCTTTTGGTGCCACTTCTGATGTTTATCCTAGCCTCAAAGCACGTTTACAACATCGTCGTCAAATGGAAGGATCAACACCAGATTCAGTCTTTTCAAAACCAAAATATACATTATATCATCGAGCACTGTCAAAGTCACACGAAAATGCAATGAACGTCTCACACATTGACACTCGTTCGCACAGTTTAAGCGCTATCTTACCTCATAAATCTAGTTTATCCTCATCCGGTGTATCTAGTCCCCGTGTTCCACCCCAAAGTTCTCCAGCTTATCCCAGAATGATGGCTCCCTCTCCCACTATCAATTCTCAGAGTTCAGGATTTAGCTCAGCTGGCCTACAAAAATCTCCTCAAACCTCTTCACTTTCAAACGATTCAGGATCTGATGAGCCAATCGATCTCACTGGCTACTCTGTACCCATATCAATAATAACAAATACATTTTCTTTACCTACTATTACTCCCGGTGTTAATAATATTCAAAATGGGAATTTTCCTTATGTACAGTTGGCTAAGAAAACTGCTCGTCCGGTGCAAGCACGAATTACCGAGTGGTTACGGCAGATTACTGAGTTTGTGGCCCTGTCTACACCTCTTGTTTCTACTTTGAAACCTAGATTATGGACTCTTAATGATTTGTCTAAACAAGTACATCATTTGAATAACAAGAATGTTGCTTTTCCTTGGTTATCATTACTTGCACAATGCTGGCAAAAACTGTTAGCCTTAAGCATGGTTGAGAATTCTTTAGATGTTGTTGTTGTTGAAGATAAATCACCATATGAAGAAAACCATGAATACCAGGATCCTGTAAACTTGGAAATTCCATGGTCTCTGCTTCTAGATATACAAAGATATGGTGAAACGAAAAACAGACGGCCAGATCGGAAGTTTTCTAATGAACTCCTTCAATTTTTATCAGAAATACGTCAAGCTGGTCTGAGTGCTCAGGAGTTTTATTTATTACGTCACGTAGTTCTTCTAACTGGTATGTTTCGAATGTTTTTAATAATCAGTATCATTTGTGTACCAGATTCTTCGGGGTTTTTGTTTAGTTATCTGTACCTAAAACATTTAGTCAGTTGAAAAGTTGTACTATTATATTGGTGTACGTCTTATTGATTGAAATGAATTTATTGTATACATGGCTCATAATATGAAAAACATAAGAAGACTTATAATAATATCTGAATAGCTTTTACTTTTTCAGCTGATCTTAAGATTTTCTCTAAGCTACTTATACTTTAGTAGATATATCATTGGATTGATCAGTGGCTTTATATTACTCGGAGTAAGCTTCAATAACTTTAGTCGTTAACAGTTTCCACAACTTTCTCGACCAATTTATCATTGATTCTCGGCACTGAAATTCAGCACAAAATCCCTAATGTACGATAAAAGCACTTTTCAGATAGAAATTTATGAGTACTCAGCGAATGACAAAGTTCGCTAGCTTATATGTAGTTATTTCTTTTTGTGGTAAGATTTCTCGCCAATTTTGAACATCTTTCTGTAAAAGTTGTGATCATCTATTTACCAATTCATAAAAATACTGATCCCTTTGTCTACTATCACATTGGCCTTGCGCATTTTACTTCGGTCTCAGAGTGCCACTTATATAATAATTTGATTTTATAAAAATGCATTCGTCACACAGACATACATATCATAAAATGCTATTTTAAAATCCCTTTTCTATAGATATACATTGATACGATGTTCCTAGATTACTTACCTTCTTCCGATTTTAATCATTTTTCGAAAGCGGTAGTTTGCAATTTTCAAATCAAGGCTTGGGATTGGTATTTTAAGGTGATATTTAAATAACCATGATCTTAATGTGTAGATAAGTATTTATTAATTATCTGTTTGTCGACTTCTGTTGACTGATATTTTAATTCCTGCTTAGATTACGGATATATACATATACCTCACATGGATTACGAAATCTTTAAAGCATTGGTGTAGAACAACGATAAGATGGGTAGCATTGCATTCATTTCTTCGGATAACTTAGCAAGTTTCAGTGCTTGGCAATATTTTTAAAGAGACAATATAACTCATTTAACATGCACTGATTTATGTTCTCTTCGTGTATGTACAAGTTAATTATACTACTTGATCACTCAAACTAGTTGGCAAAACGAGGTTCCAACCTATAACTCTGTAGTTGAAAGTGTAATGCTTTGATTATTAGGGCATCACTCAACAAGAAGCTACTGGACACACTAAATAAATGCTATATTTCATTAAGTAAATCATTCCGAATGATATTAAAACCTTATGATTTAGGTGTGATATTTTTGCACTTGAAGAAACTTGAGGTTGAACAATTGAGTATTTTAAAACAATAACAGAACAGTTATATCGTGTTTTTTATTTGTTAGTTTTTACTACTGTCTAGTAATAGGTACCTTCTTGAAGTTTTATTTTTCCTTTCATTCTCTACTTTTTTGAAAACAGTTGATGAACCGGATACCTTGCCTACTTTGGGTTTAAATGTCATACGTGCTTCAAGATGCATGAACAATAGTAATAATAGCAATGGTAAAATGGATCAGTCGAATTCTGTTGCTAATTTATTAAAAGATGGAACTGAGGCTTCTATACTTCCATCAAAAGGTGAACCGCCGACAGTGACCTTTGATTTGGCATGTTTAGCTTGTGGACTAAAAGCTCTTCGATCAATGTGTCCTTATCGAATTGCGAGTTTATTCTGCAGTCATTTACGAAATAGTTCAATATTGAATCAAACATTTATACTTGAAATGCATATAAAATATTTATTAGCCCTTAAGGACCTGCAAACGTTGTCTTCTTCGCAAATCACCGCTGAGGTTGTTAGTAATGGAATTAATAACAATAATAATGGCAGTATCAACACTAATGGTACTAGCAACAGTAAAAACAATGTTAACACTAATAATAAGCATTCTATGCTTCAAAAAATACAAGTAAATAAAAAAAGTATTTTGGAACAATTGTTTGATAGTGCTTGAAAATAAACATCACAATTTGTAAACAATTGTGTGTTATAGTACTAGTCCTTTATCTCCTAATAAACAATAGCACTGAAACTTAAATATTGAAGACATTAAATCAAAACAATACAAATCCAAGAAAGAGGAATAGCGTTGGTAGTGGCATCACCCTTGTTAATAGACAAACACTAAGGGATTGTAAAGATAGCACTTGAAACAATAAAAGCAACCTTTTAAGAAATTATATCAACAACAGTAAGATCTGAAGAGTATCCAGTTTTCTGCAATTAGTAGCCGAGTTGTCATTACTTTGCTTTGTAAAGAAACGATAGTTCGGCTTGTATGATATATTACCAATCAAAATAATTTTTAGACCAGCTCCAAACTGTAGAAAACTGGATACTCTTCAGATCTTACTGTTGTTGATATAATTTCTTAAAAGGTTGCTTTTATTGTTTCAAGTGCTATCTTTACAATCCCTTAGTGTTTGTCTATTAACAAGGGTGATGCCACTACCAACGCTATTCCTCTTTCTTGGATCTGTACTGTTTTGATTTAATGTTTTCAATATTTATGTTTCAGTGCTATTGTTTATTAGGAGATAAAGGACTAGTACTATCACACACAATTGTTTACAAATTGTGATGTTTATTTTCAAGCACTATCAAACAATTGTTCCAAAATACTTTTTTTATTTACTTGTATTTTTTGAAGCATAGAATGCTTATTATTAGTGTTAACATTGTTTTTACTGTTGTTAACATCATTACAGTTTTAATGATACTGTCTGTGGTATAATAACATTAGTGATGATATTATTATTGTTAATTTTACTATTCATACTACGTTATGATGCCTTATTATGAAAACAAATTTTTCAAATAATAAAGTTGATTTATTCTTTTTTGTTTCATCTGTTCATTTTCATTTAACTATCACTGATCTCAACAGTTTAAAAAGTAGTCGCTAATCTTATTGCAAATATCTGATGTTCAACAATTTCATGTTGAATGATTAATTCAGAGATCGTATTGTCTAGACATTCAGTAATTGGTTGAATTATTTTACTTGTCCATATTTAGGTCATATATACACTTCATGACCTTGAGATCATTTCTGCACTGTATTAACATGCCAATTTTTTTCAATTGATGCGAGTGGGCTTACATGCTCATATGATCTATGATTTATCCTGTGTTCAACTTTGTACTAATATTTATTAAATTAGTGTGACTCATGTTTTATCTCAGTCCAAAGTCTGACTAGAATCAAACTTATTAAACCCTATCTTTTCGTTACAGTGTTGAAAATATATCAGTGACTGGTTTCAGTTTCAACTGTTAGTTAAGGAATAGAAATTTTATTCATTAGGCGTGTATACACAACTTACTGTTCTATGGTGAATACAACGTTTAATTTTGAGCTATAGGGTCAATAAAATCTCTTATTATTATTATTATCTTATTAAGTGTTTTCTGAAGAAACTTTAGTAAAATTAACTCTCTCTATTTAGAGGAACTCAGCTCTGGTTAGCCTCAAAAATGGTCAATCCAAAGGAAATTAATGACCAAATTATTAAGATGAAAATTATGAATAAAGTGAGAAATAAATATATTGACTATAATAGAGAGAGAATACTCCAGATTCAAAGTTAATGAGATCACAAGCTTCGTATCAATACACTAGTCTAGACATCAGCTTTTTTCTTGTGACTGCTGTTTTGCATACAATATCAACGCGGTCTAAGTAGTTTGGACACACAACTTTTGACCATTGTACTGTAAATTTCTGTTCAATTTCTGATTACCACATTTTTAGTAGCTGGGTTGTGTTAGTAGTCTACGCAATAGAAGTAGCTTATAGTGTTTTATAGTTTGTTCGCGCTTACTTGTGGTTTCTTGTACATTATACGTCCCGTTTTGTTAATTGACCTAACTACAGAGCATTCTCATTACTCTGTTTACTAGATAAGGAGTTACTGGGATGAGCAAATTAGTTTTACGCCATCTTGAGTAACTAAGAGTTAAGTATTCATTAGCTTGGCTAATGAACCTGGGTATGAGAACTTAGTGTATACACACGCTATTTGGATTATTAACAGTGATATTTATCAGTTTCGCAAACGGAAAGAATTACTGCAGTTGGCAGATCTCATTTCTTCTTTAGCTTGTAACACATTAACAGTTGTAAACGAAGTTGTAATGTCAATTTTCCTATTGTCTTTTTTTAATATATAAGTCAGTCAACGGTCAGATAACAAACTTGGTCAAGGCTTACTAGGCACATTTTTACATTGTGACTGGCATCCAATAATGCCTGTATTTTGGGAGGCAATACTATAAGTAATAAATTATAATCACTGTAAACGTTGATAAACTATTTCTGGACTAATTTTATCTTAGGTTGTACTCAATTTTATCGGCACATACTGTAGAAATGTATTCAATGGACAAATTCTGATATTCCTGTATACCATAACATCGACTGAATATTTAAATGCAATTCAAATCAGGTGCAGATCTATGGTTTACTGTGTTAAACTATATTTCTAACGTGAGGGCTATCCAGTAGTTAAGACTGAAAAAAGTTGGGCGTGGTTCGAATCTGAAACTCGGTAACTAAAGTAAAATGCGTTAAATCTTCTACCCTAAGTTACTTTACTGCTCATATATTTTGAAATTATTGAGATGATATTTACAATCTTCACTCGAAAGTTTATGTATTACAACAATAATCCTAGTACGTGTGTATATTACATTGAATGTACTAACATGATAATATTGATCCATCAGTCAAACGTATATAACACCAGAAGTAATATTCACATTTACTACTAAATGAACAAAGATAAAACAGATTTCTCTATATTGTGATACTTCTAAATTATGCCTTCAGTGTGAATTAAGGAGTTAGAAGAAAAACAGTAAAACGTTTCCCATTGGTTACATGTTAAAAAATGAATCAGAAATGTCCTGAATACCATTTTGAAATATAAGTTGACTGTTTTGGAACCTGAAATATCACCATACTGATCTCTTTTCACAGTATCTATTTTATACGAGATCGAACCAGTAAAATTTAAGTTTTTCAGTCTGCATGTTACCGAAGTATCTAAAATAAAACAATATTCAAACTTAAGAAATCGTCATGATTGATCTCATTTAATTATGATCCATTGTGCAACTGTGACTCGATTCAAGATGAGTTTCATGTGATTATGTTAATCTCGCTGTAAAAGTTCAGGTATATAGTGCGTCTATGTAAGCAGTTCCACTTCTTGTGAAATCTTACTCTGATCTGAGATTATCCAGGTACTTATCATATTTGATAAGAATTGTCTTCACAGGATTTCTCACGATCTTGGTTAAGACATGGTTCACAGATAGTAATTCAGTAACTTCTACACCTTTAATTATTTGCCTGAGCTGATACTGGATTGGAAAAACGGAGGTATGGTTAGTTAATATCTCAGCGCTGTGGAGTGAAAGATACCTTTATTAAGTTGGCATGTATCGGCCCAACAAATATCCCTGCGTTGAGTTCTAGAGATTATCCTGTTCATTTACTTCAGGCATATTTCACTTATTGAGGCAGTTTACATTATCAGACCTGGATTACGATATGAAGCAGTGACTATTCTATTGTAGTGTTTGAACAGATTCATAACGAAAATAGATCCCTCTTGATTTTATCTTCAACCAGACTGTACCTTCTGACTAGTAATATTCTCGACGAATCCCTAATTTATCTTTTTGTTTTGTAAATAGTGTCATTTAACCGTGTTTTGCGCATACTTTTGGTTCTCATCTGTGTAGAGTTTTCTATTATGCTCTACTGTTGATTCATAGTGATTACATTTACTTTTCTTCTGACTGATTGCTCTGGTTTACTAAAATTCTCGTATAGTATTTTGGTTGTACCATACAGTCCTTTCATATCTGATGAGGTTTCCAAATCTTTGATGAATGAATACATGAACATCCACTTGGTTACTTGATTCCATTATCTTTTTTATCAGTAAGAGGTTGTGAAGATTTTTGGATTTATTGAAATCATGAACCGATCTAGGTTAAATCACCATTGAAAGCCTGAAATGACTATCCTGTAGTTTCATTCTAGTAATGAACTTCCTGGCAGAGCGCATCAAAAACTCTGCACGTGGGAATCAACCCCTTTGGAACTAAACTGCGTCGATTGTGAGACAGTTACCCATCTAAGAAAGTGGAGAGCGGTCGAGCGATGTCTTTTGTGGATTGAAGTTAGCCATTAACACCATTAGATGCCGTTTGACTTACTACACGAAGAGGCTGCATACTTTTGAGATTACTCAATATTTACTCTTACGATTTATCAGTTCTTGCATATTACCTATTATTCTTTACTGTTCCTCATTATTCTTTCTCAGGTTTTTGAGAAAAGACTTTACTGTACTGAGGAGAGTGCTGAAGGCAGTTAGCAGGGTGTGTGGCGAATCTTTTGAGGTCATTATTAATATGTTTGTGGATGGATATCTTAAGTCTTGCAAAATCCTGGCAGGTGTTATCTTATCAGGTACTAACCATCCACTTCATTCATATCTTTCTTCCTGTATATCTTCTGGTATAACGAGACGTAAATACATTAAAATCCATGCACGCAAGCAAATCTATAGATGTCCTGTAATACCTTACCTAGCAATTATACGCTATGACGAATAGGTTGTTAGAAACGACCTAGTAAATAACCTGTATTCTCAAGCGTGTCTCAAATATGATAATTTGTACAGTCAGATCTTTTTCTTTTTTTTCGTAAAATCTTGTTGAAATACTTTGTGCTGAGAATTCTGTATTGTACCAGAATATAATATTGAATAAAGCCATTAGTAATAATCATAACTCAATGGTCTAGAGACTGGGTGTTCATGCGCGAGGTCGCGTGCGGGTTTGTGGATGCTCATTGCTTAAGGATCTACCTTTTTTATATTCATTTGGTTTGCCTGGATCATATTAAAGCTAAATTATTTAAATTGCAGTCTATTAATTTCCTATTTTCTGATAATTTCATAACATTGCAAAGTTGGATCAATAAAATACTACATTGATTTTTATTGTAATTGTAATTCTTATCATCAATGTAGAGATCTAGACTAATATCAATGGTTTTCTGACAACTGCGTTCCAGTTATAAACAGGTCAAAGGTCACTTGCATAAGTGAAATAGATTTTTCTCTATATTTTTTGTCTTTTGTTAAAGCTGACTCATATAAACCGTCATTATTCAGGTCAATACATATAGACCAATTTAATTTGAGTGGAAGTATGATATCAATAATAATAATAATAATAATAATAATAATAATAATAATAAGCTTAACATGGTTCAACTTCTTAGGTTTTGTATACTTTAGCTACATTTACAAATGTGAGTGGAGTTTTTCCTTGCAAAGTTTTCTGTTCAATAATTTTCGGCTTTAATAACGAATACAAAGATAACCAATAGCATTTCTAACCATTTTACTGTCTCAATCACTTAATAAATTTCACAAAATCACTTCAACTACTAAAAAATGAGCTAAGTAGTAGAAAGTCATATCAGTTTACTTTTAACCATAGTAAGTAACTGTGCTACGAATATAATGGAAGATATCTATTATTCAGACAAATAAGCATGGAAATGATGATACAGTTTCGAAACAAATTAATTTTCAAGATATTCATGTCTGTGTGGAAGCGACAGAATACAATGAAACTAGATCCGAAAGAAAAAGCTAACGCAAGAACTTTGATTATGAATCGTCATTTTAAATCACTGCCGATTTTGTCATCTATTTCTTTACATACGGATATAAATAAACTGTACAAACTAAATCTCTACTAAGCATTGACTCCCTAAATTTCTTTTCACATGAGGATCTAGGTAACTTATTAGACTTTTTTACACACTTGTTATACTGTGGGTCGTAATGTACAGTAACCACTATAAAAATCTAGACTTATCTCATATAAGGGTAGATCTTGTTTTCACTAAATGTTTACAAAAGTCAGGTTCTGGACAGTGTTAATAAACATTGGATACGTTTCTATGAAGACTGAAACTCCCGTACGAGTTACCATTTGGGAAATATGAAAAGGTTATAAACGTCTGATGATCTTATACTTGATGGATTTAGACCGTTATCAATACAATCCCGGTAGTAGTATTCGTGATGATCACGTGTTTTATTTCATGCACCAAAGCAACATCACAAGCATATTTTGTGGGAAAAAACAAGGATTCGATATAATTAAGATTCCTGCTGAAATGTTTCCAACATCAGTAGCTTGCATTCCTCAGTTCTTAAAAGATCATTGGGTAAAAAAATTCCTTAGATAGCTAGTCAATACATCATTTACCATTTGCAAAACGATTTGTAGTCGTTGTGTTACTATGTGCACAATTTTCCTGATCCATATCTTTACTTAGCAGAATGTATTCGTTACAGTTATTATGCAAAAACATTTATGTGTAAGCGACGCCGCAAAACATAAGGCATTTAAAGCCTCGAGGGATTTTACTTTTATATTTTGAACTACTCACTAGTAGTATAAAAACAAACAAAAATTCTAAATCACAGCTATTGGTACATGAGTAAGAAAGCTTAGACTCAATGAAATGGGTAGTTATTACGTATAGTTTTATTATTTAAAGTAATTAATCTTTTTCAGTACAATCGAAGTGAGTCTAAACGCCACAGACTCTTTTTCCGCAAGTTGTCTTTGTTATGGCTCATTTTATACTGTTACCAACAATTCAGTTAACATTTCAAACACCTAAAATATTTTTTACTTCTACTACATTTAACATGCAATGAATTTAGCATAAGCTTTATAAATGCTTTACATCCTTCACCGTTATTTAAGTACTACAACTAGATGTAATCATTGGACGTTTTATTTTTTCGACTTTGAGGCACATACAGTAATATTAGCTTTTCTTTACAACATAAATTTATGATCTTGTATACAATTAAGAAAAATGTGGCCAGATACAACAAATTTGTGTTCGAAGTTGTATATCATTCTCGCTCTTATTTATCGTCGTTTATCAACTTAGTAGATCTAGTTGAGAAGTTAATACATAAACCTGTTTTAGGTGTCTGTTCGTAAAATGCTTCCCATTATCAACAGAAATTGGCGCTTTCTATCCAGTATGTTAATGCCTTTATTTATATTGTTCACATAACTCTCTTGATTCCATTTTTATGGCTTACTTTGGGAGTTAGATATGTCTAAACAGTTACTGCAATATTTTGAAAATTGATGTTATGACCATTTACACGGAAGCATAAGATTAGATGGAAAACAGACTTATGTGTCACATCATCGGCTTGAAACATGTAAAAAGAGTACTCTCATCCTAGGACAAATAGGAAGGCAAGATTCATTAGCTAGTAAGAAACTACTCGCCCACTTTATGAGTTGTTAATTGCCTACACTTAATATGATATTTTACCACACCATTGTCAGAACCTATTAAGTCTTAAGCGATAATAGACTGAGTAACGAATCTAAATTCTTGATTGCTTAAACTGAGTTATAGCAAGAGAATTATTTAAGTGTGAATCTAACTGTTGGGGATGTCAAATCCCCAGAACTTACTTGATAAGTGGCTTAATTTTGTAATTTTATTTTGGAAATTTGAATTTAGCTGTTTTCGCGCCAAACGCGCTCTTTTAACCTTCACATCATATTTCCCACTTGTAACTACCTTAAACGCTATTGGTCCATTGTTTCTTTGTGTGTGCTATTTATTAATGATGCCCAAGGACAATCTGTTGCTGTATATATACGCTTGACTTTTCGCTTATTTGATTGCTGTGTTTCTGGCTGCTACGGAATATAACTTCCCCGCTCCAACTTGGACTTTTTACTCTAGTCGCGTCAGAATAGCTAGTTATTGGTCTCTGGTCACGTGTCTTTGTTCCGTTCGTTACTAGTGAATTCGTAACACCACAGATATAACACTAACTCCAGGACGTATCAACTAATTTTTTAGACTGTCAAAAACTAAAGTGAAATGATGCATTTGTTGTGGTCAAGGTAATTACTACGCATTATTAAAACTACACAACCGAGTTTCTTTACAAAAAGAACTCTCTGGTCATCTATATTTTTGTATTAGATAGAAGAATATACTTTTTCTGCATGTATTGTTTGATATAATAGGAAAATCAAGAACAATTTAAACGATGTTTGGACCTATGTTATTGAAGTCGATTGTTGATAATATTCTTGAAAACTAGGCCTAACAGTCAAGTCTTAATTGGACAATCAATGATCAACAAGCCTGTGACATTTGATTATGTTTATTCTGTTTCCATTCCGTTTATAAGCATATTATTTTATTATACAGAGATTATTCTACTGACTTTGATTAAAAAGACTTCTACACAACTACTGAACTTCTTACTCTAGTTTGCGGGATAAGGAAGAAGAGGATACCAGTAGTCTCGTTCACTGAAGTTGAGGTTGCAAACAGTAGCTTGGCGCACGAGTATATTGAATTTTTAGTTAGTCAGCTAGTTAAATGCTTCCGAAATGAAACTAATTATTAAATACCTTAGATTTGTTCCCTCTAAAGTGGAATAAACGTATTTAAATATAAACATTAGTAAACTCAATTTATTGAGAAATTTCATTTTAAATAATGACAGCCAAGTACCTACAATATAACTTGAATAAAATCAAAATATAAGGATCATAAAATTATTCAATAGATTAGAAGAGAAAAGGATGTGAAATAATTCGGAATGACTTGTTATTTATAATTATTACAATTATTTTGAAGACATAATATTTGATGGAATAGGGGAATTATCGAAAAAGAAGCTAGCTGATACAATTTGTTCATCAGGGTTATTGGAAATGCGAGGTTTTGGATTTTTTATTGTTCCCCATACCCAAATCCAATATAACGATCCCATAATAAAAAATACAGCGCCAAATTCAATTTTTATGGCTATTAACCATAATAACAGAGTAATAATGAATTGTACATACCATAAATTCCAAATGGCAGTAATTCTAGCTAATTTCTACATAAAAATAGGTACAACCAGAAAAATTATTAAATTAAAGTAGATGAATGTATTGTCAAAGTACTTATGGATTTTATTAAAATACAATATGGAGGGAAAAATGAGTTTACCAATCTGTTGTTAAATTTTTTTGAAAATAGAAATGGACGGATGAATAATTTATCTGATCTTTATTTTGATAGAGGTGACTAATTGTAACTGAAAAATAAAACCTAGCATAATACACCGTGGCAGAGTGAGTGAATGGTGACTTGGACACGTGTTACGTACGCCCAACCACCGACTGCCTCGACGTGCAATGTTTTATCATATAGGAGTAAATTGGAAGAAAGCTAGAGGCGGCCAGACCAAAACGTGGCACAAATCCATGAAGTCACTGACAAATGGACTGAGTCATGTTGGCATGTGTAGACTACCTGGTTGGGATCCGCAACATGATAGCGATCGATGGTTAGAGACTTTGGATGAGATGGCTCAAAATCGTTTGCAATGGCGAAGGTGCATTCACTCTTTGTGTAATCCCAAATTCTTATCTTCTGAATTCTTCGTGTCTCTATCTACTTTCTCTCTCCAAATTTATTTCACTGGATTATACTCCTTGAATAACATCTTCAAACCCTAATCTTTCCGATTACTGTTTATACTCTTACTACCTCTGCCACTATGGGATTTGAATCGACAACTGTATCTCTGTGCTAATGTGGTATGGCAACTCGAACTGATGTACGTACGTGTGAAGTAAGTACGCTTTGTTAGTTATAACTTTAATATTAAAATGCTGACATTAATTGATAATAACGCTTCACTGAGTCATATAAACATATAAATAGGATTAATATACATAGACAAGTAAAAGTGGTATTCTAGTACAATATAATTAGAATGTAAGTAAATCAGTCACTTTTGCCTAAAAGATTACCTGAATGCATCTTTTTTATACTGTTATGAATCAGAACATAAATTAGACAGAAATATATTACCGTAGATGGTTCTTTTACCACAGAACTGTTGACAGGTTTTTGAAGCAAATCTACGATTGGAGGTTTGAAGTCTGGAGTTACTGGATTTTCTAGACGATAGGCATCTAATTGAGCTTTAATTTCGAAGTAAGAACGTTGTTTAAACTTGGGTACCATGTGATTAGTCTGAAAACATTTTATTAACAGATGAACGTTACCAAGTGGGCTAGGATATATATATATATATATATAGAGAGAGAGAGAGAGTAAAAAAATACAAATCAAGTCATCAAATATATGATTCTGCACAATAAAGTGTATTAGTCACCATTATGAAAGGAACTTGAAACCTGTGATGATTTGCATGTGACCATAAATGAAGTTTAGAATCCCAAATAACGTTTCTAAGATCACTATTAAGCCGAAAACGCCTCGAATACTGTGTTTTAAGGATCATAAGAACCATGTAGAATCAAACCACCTTAATAACTGATTATCAATTGTAGCGTACACACGTTTTAGTGCTAAAACTGAGTCTTTAAAATATTACGTATGCAAATGAGGAGACAGTTGATCTTCGAAATTTTCTGGTTAATTAAAGACAGAGAAGACGAACTTAGGTTATAGTTATTAAAAGTTTACTATTTTAGATTTAACCACAGATACAGACTTCGTCAGGATTCAAAAAGAAAGTCAGAACGACAAATTTAAAACATTTTTCTAGATTTCAGGATTAAAGGCTAGTTTTTAAACATTGGTCAAGCCCAAACTATCTCGGTTTGGAGATAGTCCAGGGCTTCTGCGTATCTCACGAACAAAACCCTTAACACTCCTCTCATTAGGAAATATGGGAGAAGGCTGACTAGTAAATTGATTTGCAACCATATTCAACTTATCCTTGAGTACAAAGTTAATATATATTATGTTTAGCTCTTTGTAACTCCATATTATAACCAAAACAGACTAAAAAAATCACCAAAAATAATCAGCATCTAGTTGAAAAACTAACCAGGTTGTTGTGTTAATTTTTACTTAGTGTAATTCTCCCAAAACTCAGGGGATAAAATATACTTCACGATCGTTCCCCAATTTAATTCAATTGATTGTAAAGGTCGATAAGTTTTCTTAAACCTTGAGTCGTAAGAAAGCGAATCCTGATATTACTAAGCTTCAATTAAGAGGTCTAAGCGACTGTCCGCACATAACAACTACAAAACAAGAGTTCAGTCATGGAATTCCAATTTGATTATAAGTGTCTAAAATGATAGAGGAAGACTAGGACAAAGAAAAAGCCAAGGGCAATTACTTTGGGACGGTCTTTATTCATGAGCCTGAATTTGACGAAAGACTAGAGCCAGAATCAATATTACTAGATCGACTACTCGCTGCGGACTTTAACCAGGACGACGTCCCAAGGGCACTAGACTCTCTAAGCACGGAGAGATTAACAGGACTAGAATCATGGGACTAATTGCACCATACATTGCTACCCTGCTCACTACGATATTCAGCGTCATTCAGCCAGAGTTACCTGTGGACTGAAAGAGTCCAACTAACACTCCATTTCACAGGACAGGATCAAGACAATTTCTCTTGAAGTGCAGACTCATTAACCTCACCGGTGTCGTAGTCAAAATATTATAAAGAATCAACAAAAAGATGATGACTTAAGTGAAAACCATCATACTTGTTACATAGTGAATGAAATGGCCTCAAGAAAGGAACACCGCATACGACTAACCTAATGGTAAGACAGATGGAGTTATCTGATGATGGAAAATAAATGAGCCGTATTTACGTTAACTTCAGTATACCATTTAATAAGGCACCACATAACAGACTTCTATTAAAACTAGGAAAACTCAGCCCTGATAAATTGGGTTAAGGTCTTCCTAGTAGTTCGTTGACTACAAGAATAAGACGCAAATGTTCTTCACAGAAACCAATACTTAATAGAGTGGCTCAAGGCCCCAGTTTTCAGTAATAAGGATAGTAGGTTGGTGAACGTGTGTTAATCCTGATAGATTGCCTTCCAATGAAGATCCAGCTTCTCCTTGAAAATGTTCACTGATGGGGCTGATACCACTTGTTCGGGTAAGGCGTTCTAGTCATTGACCACTCAGTGAGAAAAACGGGACCCCACTTTAAGTTTATTAGATGGCGGTTTGTGGACCTTCTGGCTATGACCTCGGAGATTATTAGTGCTGAAGAGAGCAAAAACATACACATATTAACACCCAAATCACAATTAACGATATGAAATGCCAGTATAAGGTCACCTCGCGTCCTACGATACGACAAGAGGAAAAGGTTTAGGCGTTTTAAACGCTCGTCGTAAGGGAGTTTAGAAAGACCCTTCACTAATTTCATCCCCACACGCTTAAGTGAGTTAGTATCCTTTATCAGACATGGGCTGGCTGCTTAGACACAGTACTCTAAGTGTGATCTTACGTAGGTGGGATATAAAATTCGAAACATCTCGTCAAAGCATTTGAATGCTCCTGGAAGTGATCATAACGCACGATAACCTTTGGAAGCAGCTGCGCTGCAGTGTGTAGTTGTTTTCAAGTCATGACTTATTATTACTCCTAAATCTTTATGTTCTTGAACGCGCGGAAAAGGTGTACCACCAATAGTATAATGGTAACTTTTACCGTGCCCGATGTGCATGAGCACGCTCTTCCTGGAATTAAATTCTAAGCCCCAATCACGAGCCCATCTAACTAATTCGTCAAAGCCAGCTTGGAGATGAAAATGATCAGCCACACTTTTTATTGCTCCCCAGATTTCGACATCATCCGCAAACAATAATGTCGATGACTTAAGTAATAGCGGTAATTCATTAACGTAGCGAAGAAAAAGTAGAGGACCTAAGATGGTGCCTTGGGGTACACCACTTTTGACCGGTTTCCATTCGGATAGAGTTCCATTGACCCTCACTCTCTGTCTGCGGTCACATAAGAAGCTTCCTATCCATTCCTGTACAACACCTGTTATTCCAAAGCTCGAGAGCTTCTGTATAAGACCTACGTGTGAAACCTTGTCAAACGCTTTGCTAAAATCTATGAATACCACATCGACAGACAGGCTGTTATCTAGGGCTGCTGTCCAATCCTCTCTCGCAATAAGTTAGCCAGGCATGAACGCTTGTTATGAAACCCATGTTGCTCGGGAGTTAACAGATTGTACGAATCCATATGACTTAGTAACTTAACCCAAATTATCTTTTCAAGTAACTTAACGACTATGCTGACACGCCGGTAGTTAGATACGATCCGTCTCTGACCATCCCTAAATATAGGACTGACTATAGCGTCTTCCCTATCTCTAGGGTGTTGAGCGAGTGAAAGGAACATAATGAAGAGCGCCGCGAGCGGTCTTGAAGTAATGTCCGCAAGCGATGACAGCAAACGTGGATGTAACCCATAAGGGCCAGGTATCTTACAAGGTTTGAGGTTAGTTATCAATGGAAGAACAGTTTCCTCAGTCATATGTACAAATCCTATGGCTGGTATCTCAGTGTGATACCATGTATTTAACTTCATGAGAATAAACTCCCAAGTATAATTAAGTTTCTAAAGCTACTTTGAGCTGATGGCATTAAAATCTGGAAAGAACTAATGAAGGATGACGGTGCATGTGAACTCCAGGTCAAACGAGATGCTCTAGTTAGCTAATCAAAATTATGGTCCGTGCCTACCAATGCGACTGTGTCAACATACATATTGGACATATACAGACGAATAACCACAGCACCGAATAAGTCTGCACTATAAGTCTATTTTCGCAATGGTCTAAGGATAATGGTGGGCCACGACCTTAGAATCACGGCTCGCTGCCGAGAGGTTTCAGTCAAACGGTTTAGAACCTATGACCGTCAACATTGATATTTGCCAAACTGGATACAAATGTGTTCATTACAATATACACAATCTTACTGAAATCCGAACCCGAGGACCGGGTGTAGGCTGCAAGCTCATTTAGAAGATGGCTGGAGTATCTTAGAAACAGTGCAAACAACGGAGTCATAAATTTAAGGAATTTCGAGACTCCCCATACACAAGCCAGATATATTAGACCCATTTACACTGTCTTATCGCAGATTAAGTGGTGTTCCGATGTTGACGCATAGAATACTGATAAATGATGTCGGATGTGGTCATTCACCTATTTTCTTTTTTATTAGATAAGGACAACTCAGCCGTTTCCTCTGGATTCAAATAGTTGCGGACGGAATAAAGGCTTCCGTATCTAGTAGCAGTGGATCACCGATGCCTCCAGATAAGAACCTAGGTTTATTGACAACAAAGGAGGAAACAGAAGAAATAGAAAATCATGAAGATACTGTGCTTGATACTTAAGAATATGTCAAGTTTCCTCTTAAGGGACTCCTGAGGATTCGCTTGGACCAGCTCAGTCGGCAGTGAATTCCAATATTTGACTACTCTTGAGGAGTAGGTGTGTCTACAGTCCGTTCTGCTGTGCTGTCTCCAGTTTCTGAGTGTTACCCATAAGGTTAGTGTTGGGACTAAGTTTAGGTAGGTATTTAAGCAGATGCCCAGAAATTTTCAGTATGCTATAAATCATTAGAAGGTGGCCTCTAAGACGCCTGTACTTTAATGAGTTAAGGTTCAGTGATTGATGGCGCTCTTCATAAGATTTAATTTTGAGTCCCCGAACTGATTTCGTGGCTCGCCGCTGGATACGCTCCAGAGTGTCCCTATCCTTTTGTAGTGAGGTAGAAAGTATTATATGACTGCACTCGACAAGCTTGTTCGCCTTTATTTCCCCTTTATTGGTTGTTTGGGAGACTATAAATTATGGAGGAAGCAATCAGATAAAAGATAACATGAGTTGGATTTTGGTGCGAAATTCATCGATTCATCTGGCTAAAAAAGCGTATTGGCATTTTTGCTGATGTTAGTTCGTGATGGAAACTAAATCTAGTTCTTAACCCTAACCATCATCTGTAAATCATAATTCTAATTCCTCACACTGTCGTCATTTAGTCCTAATTAATAAGTGGATATCTTCAGAGTCATTTTAGTGTCGCTCAAAGGTCGTCCATAAATTATATTCTCAACATATAGTCACAGAAACTTACAAGACAAGGGCTAACATAGGGCAAGGTAAATAAGTCAGTGCGTTTTCAAACCTGCCCGCCGTTTCCTTTTTGCGACCTTGAACGGCCTGACACGAGGCGGTCATTCCGTATTTGATTTGTTGTGGGTCGGTTGGTTGTCCTCTGGGTTGCACGAATATCTGGTTTTCTTGTATTTGCATCATTTTTGGCTGTAGCAAATTCACAAAATCAATGCCAAAAGCGTTTATTGTGCTTACTGTGTTTTGTAGTGTACAATTTGACTCTTTTGTTGCTACGTAACTTGACCTGGGATACCAATTACCCTACTGAACCTCACTCTCCTTGTTTAAAATTCGTTGGGGTCCGCAAAACTGCGTATTCATTATAAAGTATCAGTTAAAGATACTATGAATTTGTGTGAATCCTTGTTTTCTGCAAGAATTAAGACGACATGACGAGTAACCCGTAAATCCTAAATGCTTGTAGTCCTTTCTTCAGTTACTGGAGTATTATCCCACGAAATGGCTGTTTTTTCAGTAATTAACGAGTAATGTTTGTGGTAATTTATGTTCCAGAAACATTTCGGTCGACTTAAGTGAGGCGTTTCAACGCATAATACTGAGCAGGCGTTTTGGAAACTGGATTGAATTCTATGGTGTGTTTAAGGAGTTCCAAAAAGTATGGATGCATAATTCCATCCCTTTTCAGACCACCCGTACACATAACATTCACGGCGAAAGTAAACTGCTAAAGGACGTGCGATTTAAATACAGTTTTGTGGTGTTATGAACTAGATGCAGGCACTTGCGAGTGTAATTGTCGAACATTTATGGCTTGTCGATATCCCTGACGTCATATAATACTGACATATGTAAAAAGACCAACTCTTACAGGTAAGCTTAATCAACTACGAAATAAACTAATTAGCTCATCACATACTTAGACCATGCAGCCGATGGAAGTTAAATAGCACGCATAACTTCCATTATAATACAACATCATTACCCAGACGGAGTGAAGAGTATATACGAATCCAAAGAAGCCAGAAAGTTCATGAACAACAGATAGTTGAAAAATATGGTGAACACTTCGCCATGGTGGTGGAGAAAAAAGTAGACAATTATCACCTAAAAATCAATGATTAGGTAAGACTGCCATTTCTCAAACATTTCTCTTCCTGCAGTCCTATTTACGATCAGTATATTCGGATGAATAATTGGAGTGGCATTGTTTCCTAATCACATGGTCTCCGGAATCAAGCATATAATAATTAAAAGGATGTAACACTTGGAGAAGGTCGGAAGTGGTGAACGTGGAGATATTCATTCAATCGAATGGCATGAGTCAGTGTTGCAGACGCGCTCATTATGTTTAACTTATTTATATTCACATTAAATATATTCTATCCCAAGCATAAATGTGTATTGTTATTTGTCGCGATACGATGGGTCAGTGTAGATAGTGATGCGATTTTCACTTAAGATCTTACAGACTAGGCAACCAAACGATAAATTTACCGTTATCGGACAACGTCTATTATGAAAGTAGTATTAGTACCTAACTAGACTATACACATACTGAAAAGATTTAAAGTGCGAAAAACTACAGTTGTTATATTTAAATTATATTTAGATAACGTATTAGATGAATAGACGCGGTAGTGGTCAATACAAAACACAGTTATCGTCAATGTGTGAATTGTTTCTCCGCATAAACTTCCATATTAAGAAATTCGCCAAGTTGTTCACCTGCATAGACTTGATTATTACAAAGATTTGAGCCTTTCAATTAGTTGACAGAAGTCATAAGTTATATAACAAAATGTATGGATAGCTTGCTCAATGCAATTCTGAAAAACAACAAATCAATCGTGAAAGAAAAGATTAAACTTCGTTATCAGTATGAAGTTCCATAAGTAAATGAAATAGCAATTGATAGGATGTACCTGTAAGTGTTTTACTTGCCGTAAACAGTGCTCTTCATTTTCTAACCTTCCTACAATTTCATCTAGTTATTCGGTATTAACAAACAAACGAAGGGACTCACAAACTTTAATTAGTTATATGATATTTGAGAAAAATCCAATTACACCGTTCATAATACTGTTTACATACAATAATGAAATAACTGGTAACCATTATTTAGCGATTACCCGTCAACATGCATTAACACTTTGTTTATGATTTAGTCAGTGATTTCGGATTCTGTTAGCAGAAATTTATATTTTAACCCTATACGCGACATCGTAAAATAGTATTTTCTACAACATGTTTTAGTTACCATGCTCATAACAAACACGCATCGCTTTACTTAAGAAGAGTATTTGGCTAATTTATGTGGCACTTACAGTAATGTTCTACACAATTTCTGTATAAATTCAGAAAGCGGACAGAAAAATCTATCAACGCCAATTGTTACTAACATATTTTTTTCTAACATTACGTAATAACATATCAGTCCAGTTAACAACGATGATACTTATCATGGATTAAACTGTTTACGGCTGTATATTAATAGTTCATATCGTAATGTAGCACGTTATATATTGACGTCCACTTTGAAGCAGGAGCGATCTGAAACAACAACACTACAGTGAGGACCGGTAAGTGCCGTCAAAGTAAGAACACAATGTACTGGTACAACATATATATTTTTAAAATTGAAAGACACGGTTGAGTGCAAAAGGGGAAACTTTCTACAGAATAGTTTTATTCATTGTTCTGCTCGTTCAGATCGCGTAGGGCTTCTTCCTCTATTTCCAGTGCATTTACTCTTTGTTGCCCTGCTATAGAAAAACAAACTCCCATTAGGAACGTCGCATGGAATGATTATTATTTTACCATTACAAGATTCATGAATAGTTTGACTCTCAATTACAATTTATAACAACTACTAACACCCACGTTCATCCCCATACAACCAATAAAGGGGAAATAAAGCGAAATTTCCCCTTTCTGTCGCTCTGTTTTTCAAATGTCGCTAAATTGCCGACTTTTACCTTAAATATTCGACGAATTTCCGATTTGCACCCTAAATATCCGACGAATTGTCTACTTTTCTACTACATGCACACCGATGTAATTAAGCGCCCACTTTTAAAACGCTTCTGTATTTACCCCAACCGCCTCCTGTGTTCACCTTCATTCACACAACATAGCACACGAATAATGTAATGTACGTAATATATGGTATAAGTTCCAAATTTTTATTGAAAAGAAAAAGCTTATTATTGTACAACGTCATGAGCACTTGTCAGATGGTAAAGCATCAATGTTCCTGATGTAATTGCAATTGTCACGGACCAGATATTTCACGTTTGTTTCTTTCCATCAGGCCTTTTGAACTATGGAGACTCAAATAATTCTTTTGAATTCTAAAATGTAATGAAGAAGAACGTTACTATATCTAGGAAATTTGTTTTGCACAACAAGGTACTTGAAGCTGAACTTACGGTTATATCCTTAAACACGGAAGACTCTACCTATAGATAACGGGAAAACAATAATCACTTTAAAGTCGTACGTACGTGTTCTTTCTTCCGTCGATGACGCTTCTGTACTTTGTCTCTCATGTCGTGAAAATAACTTTGTGTAGCCATGTCATATAGTTTCGCAAGGTCTTTCTCAGTGACAGATGACGACAGGGATCGATTAGTAAGTGCACCTGAAGTTTAAAAACCTTATTTATCTTACTTCGTACGCAGCCATAAAACCGGCACTTCTGAATCGCTCGTTTTGATGAAGTACCAAGTAACGTGAAATTAATGGCGACTTCAGGTTCCATGATGTAGGACAGAAGATATCGCATGCAGGTTTTAGGATCATCATTCATTAAACGCGTCAACATGGCCATCTGTAATAGGAATGAAGGATAAAAATCATGTGTGCTTACAAATCT